CAAGTGCCTATATCAGGGAGGGCCAACCACTGTCAGACTTGGGATTTGGGTCCTTCATTTGTGCTTTATTTTAGAAGACTGTAGACCTACAGATAGCACCAAGGCACTTTCTGAGAATGAGTCAGACTTGATGGGAGGCAGAGGAGAGAGGAGTAAGAAGGTACAATGACATTATTTATTTAAGCCTGCAAACAGTCTACAACTTGGGCTTTTCAGGTATGTGAACCAAGGGATTCGTTTGGTTTTATATTTATTTTTCTTTCAGAATCCTAATACACCCAAAGCTAGTGTTGAAGACATCCAGAAATGAGTAAGATGCACTTTATTGATCCACCAGTTGGTGGAAGCTTCTTGGCAAACCAAAGCTTGCAGAATATAGTTGGGAAACTGTCCGAAACCCCTTTGGCAGCTGGACTGGAAAATAAAAAAGAAGCACAGAAGTAGCAAATACTCTGTTACCAATTATAGATCTGGACCCGAGGCCAGCCAGTGACTTGCCTTTGTGTCCTGATTGCTATGCCCCTAAATCCAGGCACAGACATGGCAACCCTCCTGGGGATGATCCACAGAGCAAGGAAATCCAGGGACTTCTGGATGACTCAAGACAGTGTCCCTGGAAAGTGGGCTATACATGGAACTTTGTACCCAGAGAACAAACTGTTTTGGGGAAACATGTTCTGAGTTCCTTTGAAAATGAACAATTATCCTTAATTTTCTTTTAACTGAACTGTTCCTTACCAGATTTTCAGAAAATGGGGAGGGCAGAGAGATTGGCATTAGGCTTGCTTTCAGCATACTGTATTGTTTATTCCTAGCTATCTTACCAAAGATGAGTGCTCAGTTATTTTTTTGCTGTAGGGGAATGCAGGAGCAGTCACAGCATGAAAACAGCAGCAGCCCTGTGAAACAGTTACTTTGAACTTGATGTATATGCACTCCACACATATCACATGCATTCATGTGCATAACCTTGATGTATGACATGCGATCCATATATATCACATGTATTCTTATGCATGATCTCCACTACAAGGACAGATGTGATTTTTATCTTGTTTAAGGGGGGAAATTAAACTCAAGGAAGCATCTAGTGTCTTTGAGGGTGGAGGACTTGACTCCAAAGCCCGTACCCAGCCAGTAATCTAGTTTTCTGACATGGGCCTTTAGAAGGCAAGTGAAAGTACCTACTCTTTGCATAATAATGCCAAAAGCAATAATAAAAGAAACTTAAACTGTCTATCCTTAGAACATGCATATTGTAGGTAAATACCAAGACATCATATTAATGTCAACTCTAGAAAACTGCAGAATAGTACATTATTTAACCCTATTTACTAATCACTTTAGAAAATAGAATTTTCTTAATGGGATATGCGGATAGGGGTTGTGAGTTCTGAATGTGTTTGGATTATCTAAAAAGTTTCTCTGAAAGTTAACTGAAGATAGATGCGCTGTCTTATTCTTTTTTTCTCTTTGAATCTTACGTAACTGACTGTAGATAACAAACAAGCAAACATAGAGGAATGCTAGTGAGTCCACTAAGATAGTTAGATAATTTTTGAACTCACGATTGCAAAGACTGCTGACTATCAAAAAAGAGAGATATTCAAATAAGATTAAGCAGTTAATGGGCTCAAGGTTCTGGATTCATGTCTTCCTATCTTTAAACATGTGGATCTATGGGTGGGGCTTCACTGAGTTAGCTGAGGATAAACAAAAATGACCTGTGTATTTTAAATGCCGTTCTTGGGATAGAGAAGGCTTTTTAAAAAAATTTTAGTTTCATAATTACGAATAACTTGAAAAGGGATGCAAATTTGGTCATTATATCCGACGTATAGCCCAGCTATACCAAAGGATCACCTTTGCTTTGAAGTTATGGGTGATATCAATATAACTCTTTTTTGTAGATCTTAAGTGACATCATTTAATGTCACGTATGGTCAACAGGTACAAAAACTAAAGGTGGTAGGACAAAGCTGTGAAAATAAATAGTGGGGGTGGGCAGAGTAAACAGCACATGGCTCCATCTTGTTACTACAAGAGAAGTTATAAAAGCACTAGAAAGTCGGTGGGCCCTCTGCATAAGTGAGATGGCTGTGGAGCTTGATCTGCTTAAGGGGCCCCCTGGCAGTGGGATCAGGATCCATCCCTGGTGCATGAGCTGGCTTTTTGGAGCCCACTACCTATGGTGGGACACCTTGCACAGCCTTAATGCAGGAAGAGGGCCTTGAATCTACCTCTACTGAATGGACCAGCCTCTGCTGACTCCCCATGGGAAGCCTTACCTTGTTGGAGGAGGGAATGGAGGGTGGGTTGAGGGGAAGGGAAGGCTGGAGAGGTGGGAGGAGGGAAGAGAGGGGGGATCTGTGGTTGGTATCTAAAATGAATAAAAATTTCCTTAATAAAAAAAACAAGTAGATAAATGAGGGATAATTAATAGTAAAATAATTAAAAGTTAACAAATTTATTTCCTAAAAAAAAAAACCAAAACAAACAAAAAAAACCAACCCTGCTCTCAAAGCAGACTCCTTACTTCCTTGGCAGTTTAGTAATAAATCCAAAGTGGGGTTCTGCAAACCCACTCAGTATGGACAGGATTATCACGTTGACCCCCTCTCTCTCCTAGACTCCACCTGTTGAGGAATAACTTTGTTTTCATATAAAATTGGGACTTTGGGAGAAGTTTAAACTGTGGTTGCCAAGCTGTACAATATGGCTTGAGAGTTATAGTTGGATGTCCTGCTGGGGAATAGCTGTAGCTTATTGTGTTTGCTTTTGTACATGCAGGAGCTCATTTCTGTGTATGTACGATGACTTAGTCATAGACGCATTGTGCTGACTAGCTGTCCTTTGCAGGGTGTGTAATGAGCGCATAAAGGCAAGCATTTGAAGAGATGATTCCATGGTTAATGTTTTACCCTCCATCCTGAGTTCTTGAATCCTGAGCTTTTGTGTTTTCATGCTGTTGTCTGGTCTTTTGCTGTGTGCCTCCTGACCAGTGATCCTCAGATAAAATTGGACAATTAGGTCCAGCTTCATTCAAATTATAAAGATGGTTGGGAGAGAGTACTTGATTTAAAAAGGTCAACACATAATTTCATAATTTGGATAAGGATGGTGGCTGTGCATACTGGTGATTAGCAAGCTAAGATCTATGGGCTGGGGCCCGTATTTTTGTGTTATGTATAAGTTAAGGATACTTTTACATTTTGCTTTTGTTTTTTGTTTGTTTTATTTCGAGACAGGGTTTCTCTGTGTAGTTTTGGTGCCTGTCCTGGATCTCGCTCTGTAGACCAGGCTGGCCTCAAACTCACAGAGATCCGCCTGGCTCTGCCTCCTGAGTGCTGGGATTAAAGGCGTGCGCCACCACCGCCACCTGGCCTCACATTTTAGGTGATAATTTTCATTGATATGTAAATCCCTGTGCCTATCCATGACTTTATGACTTGACTAGCCCTTCAAAAAGTTTGCCAAACCTCGTGCTTAGACCACCATTTTGACTTCAAGGTCTTGAACAACATCTGAAATAGGAACTAGGTTGAAATGGATATTTATTGAATTGAATGACCCACAGTGCTCTTTATTTACTAAGGGATGGTAAATACTATATCACCTAATTTACTCTGGAATGGATATGGCTGACTTTATCAGTCAAGTAAAACAGAAGTCATGCAGAAGCTGCTTAGGGGCAGAGATTCAATGTGCTTGATTCTATGTTGCTTAGTTATTTTGTCTTTGTTCTTTAGTTATGAATCTTAGGAAGCTTTCTTGCCATTAGGAGCTCTTAGAGTCAGTGTGTCTTATTGTTATGTGTTAGCATTGAGTTTTGCTACTGGAACAAATCCTTGAATATTTGTTTCAAATGTATAATATTAGTCTATACCTTAGAATTTCTGAATCAGAATTTCCCTATGAACAAGCCTCTGGATGATCTGTATACCCACTCAGTTTGAAGGAGTACTTGCCAGAATCCTGCCACAATTCCTTCCTAGCAGAATGCTGATATTCTTGAGGCACCTATGTTTGCCCAAACACAGTCCACATGACTCCAGAAACTGATCTCAGTTGTAGACATGGCCTGAAGTGACTTGCAGAGTCTTGCCATGGAAGAAAAAAAATAACATGTAACTCAAATTGAGTGGTGTTATTTTGGACCGATGACACAAATAGAAAGTGGGGTTTTTTTTCTTTTTCTTTTTTTTAGGTTTCTAGGCAATAACATTCAGATGAACATCAGTGTCCATGAATGAGATGTTTAGAATGCTTCATAGGAAGCAAGCAAACAGATAAAAAACAGGATTGGAACTGAGAGCATCATAGGAAATAATGTCATTGGGCCAACTCCACCCAAGCCCTCTTGTCAAATGAATGGACTCTCCATAATGTAATTACTTATTATCTGTTTATTAGATGACATGTATTAGGTATGAGTTGTATGGACCCATTTCATGTTTTATCATTAAATGTACAAAGGCATGTGGGGAAGCTGTACTTCCTATTTACGGATGAGAAAAGTGAAGGTCAATATAAAAATCAAAACAAAATGAAAACAATAACAAAAAACTTACCCAACAGCTTCCAGCTGTCTGCCATCACATTACACTTGACACTTAGCCATCAGGGACACAGAAGTTAAATCAGCTGTGAGATTACACTCCCACCCTGCTCAGAATGACTATCACCAAGAAACCATTGACAACAAATGCCGGTGAAGATGTGGGGAAGAGGGAACCCTTATACACAGTTGAGGGCAGTGTATATCCACTATGGAAATGAGTATTGAGGGTCCTCAAGAAAACCTATAAATAGAACTACCATACAGCCCACTCGGATATGTACCTGAAAGGACTCTAAGTCAACATATACCAGAGATACTTGCACATTCATTTTTATAGCTGCATCATTCACAATGGTGAGGTAAGGATGTATGGTGTGAGTGTGTGTGTGTGTGTGTGTGTGTGTGTGTGTGTGTGTGTGTGCGCTGCGCTGCAGCGCGCGCATATGTAGATCCCAGACTAGAAAGGATTATGAGAGGGATAGAGGAAGATACTGTAAAGGAAGTGGGAAACAGAAAAGGCAGTAGAATACATGTAACATGAAAGCAGAAGGGAGACACACTGTGCCAAGAAAGGGCATCAGCTGGAGGAAAGGAGTGGGGAGAAGAAAGGGCAGTGGCGTGGGCGGGAGGAGGGGGAGAGGAGGGAAAACAGTCTAATGATATAATCGTGTGAAGATGCCATGATGAAACTCAATATTTTGTATGTTAACTTACGAATTAATTTAAAAAAAGAAACCTACATGAGGCTAAGTAAAATTATATGAATCTTAAGATTTCATATATGTTTATGCTTCTTAGTATGTTGTAAAAGGTTTAATTACAATATTAAACCACTTAGACATACATAATGTTAAAAAACAGACACAGTGCTATATTAAAGTATATTATTAAAAACAACTGTCAGCTTTTCAGTGTGTTTATGCTGCTGCTGTTGCTGCTGCTGACTGTTAATTTGTTTTGTGGGCAAACGAAAATAAGAAATGTCACACAGTCAAGCTGATTCCTGGGAAATTCTCTGGTGCTTTCACAAGCCCTTTAAGCCATGAGGGTGGCATTTGGTAATTTACTGTTGGAGAAGACACATAGTGGCATTCTATGGATGAAAAGAAGGGTGTTTTCCTCTGGAGAATCTGACAGAGGCAACTTATCTTGTAAACTACAGGGAAAGGATGGAAAAAAAATGGCTGTCACATCAGAGTGACTCCTCAGTGACACCCAACACCAAGTGCTTTGACTCTGCAGAGCAGACCCAAGAGGAGGCTGGATCAGAAGTCTACTAACCAGAGACAGAATCTGTCTTTTGTTTTCTTATTAGAATGAAACTCTCATAGACAAATGGTACTGAAATGTCATCTGGCATCTTTCTGGCTGGCTCTGGGAAGAGTTGGTGGTTTTCACCTAGTTCCCGGAGCACATGGCTTCCCACCCCAGAACTGTTGTGTGTTAGGCTACATTTTGCCAAACACATTAAATAAGCCCTGTTTAGAATACATTAACCTTAAGAGCCAAATAAATCCATCAATAGCATTTATTTGCCACCCACCATGCTCAGTTCCTGGGGAGGGTGGAAAGTCACAATTAAAAGGGAACACATGGATTGAAGGTATAGAACATTCATCATTGAAAATGTCAACTACCAAGTTTGAAAGCTAAAAGAGAATTTGGAAAATCATTTCCCAAGTTACTTCCAGAGAACATGAGCTCTGTGGGACATGACTAAGGGCTCCAGGGTCAGACAAGTTGAAGTACGGCTCCACTAAAGGGTTCCTGCACACAGGGCTTCTTGTGCTTAGACATCTGCCTTATTTTTCTATTCCTGTGATGAGACACTCTAACAAAAACAAAATGCCAGGGTACAGACCATCCCAGTGGGGAGGAAACGGCTGCAGGAGCTGGAGGGATCTGCTCACAGTGTGTCCATAGTCTGGAAGCAGACAATGATGAACGCTTGTCCTCAGTTCTTTCTCCACTTGTATAGTCCAGGTTCCCAGCTCAGACAACAGTGTGCCCAGAGTGGGTAGTTCTTCTTGCCTCAATCAAGCTAATTCCCAACAGGCACACCCAGAGGCCTGCCAGTCTGCCAGTTTCCCAGGAGATTCTAGGTCACATCAAGTTGGCAATGGAGATTAATCACTAAAACTTTAAAATGCATTACACAGCTCCATTATGGCTCTATAGCCTGACTCCTACAGATTTGGGAAAACAGTGATTTCAAGTGGTTACTCAACTCCCATCACCTTGTAACTGAAGAAGATGAGGTAACGTGACTTGTCCAAGATCATGCAGCTCACAGCAGAGCCAAGATCAGGCTTTTAGCTCCTTTTCTTTTGAATCTAGTGACTTGCAGTTGAAGTTGTTACTGGGTCTCCATTTCCTAAAGCATGTATTTTTAAGGGACCACTCCTTGTTTTCACAAATTGGTTGGCTGAACGATCCTACATTCACAGTTCAGGAAAATGAAAGAAGACCCAGGATTTAGGAGACCAGGGATCTGGCCTGGAATTGCCATCTCCCCTGTGGTTATTATTGGTAAGCTGGGGGTAATCTTTTTTTTAATTTGTCTTTTGGTGTGTGTGTGTGTGTGTGTGTGTGTGTGTGTGTGTGTGTGTGTGTGTGATCTTTTTCTATAGCTGTCAACTGAACACACAAGCACCGACCTGCACTGCTTCTGGCCTCTGGTTAGAAGTTTAATCTTATTCCAGGGATAATAGAATCCTCTTGGAGAGGATTTAAGAACAGTGAGGTCATGGCATTACCCAGACAGGAACCTTTTTAAGGAAAGGGGATTTCTTCTCTCCTCCGTGGTATCTGCCTTAATACGTCACATGCTTTAGATGCTAAATGAACAGAAAATGACACCATACAACATGAGCAGAAAAAAAAAAAATAAAATCAGTATGCGATACACATGAAATTGACTAGAAGACGCGTGAGGAGGTACTGCCCGTGGTTTTGACTTGTTTTGTTTTTCCTTTTGTACAATATGAAAACGATGGTTTTAAACGAGAAGACCCCTCTTTCACATTGTGGATGGTTTTTAGAAATGGAAACATAAGCAGGTTGAAAAATAATTTGGCCGCTTAATCTGCTGGGCCCAAGAGAGTGATTTGTAGTACTTAATAATAGTTAGAACTAATTCTGTTTTCCTAATGTGGATTGTTTTTCCAGTCCCCTGGACGTACCATGTTGAAGCTTTTAGATAAATACTGGCTTCCTTGGGACTGGCTTGGGTTGTTACCTCATTTGAAAGATGAGAAAAATACATTAAAGTGTCAGGGAATTTGTAGGGTCATTAACTTGACTCTGCCCTTCAAAATAAATATGTCAGCCTTAATTTTCAATGGAGGTGGCTCACCTATATCCCAAAGTTCATGGATTCCTTCTTGGGAAGACACACTGGTTATAAATCACAGTGAGTGGTGACGGGAATGTGGAACTCGACCTTGAACAATCCCCCAGCGCTGGATCCTTTAGTGCAGTGGATGGAAATGCATATAAAGGAAAAGGGTACTACAATAGATTTGTATTTACTCCTTTGTTTCCCTTCCAAACAATTTCCACAGGCAGTCATAACCATTACAGCTAGAAACAGTAATGGCTCTCTAAGCATCCTGTAGCTTCTAAAACACTCTTGAAAATGAAAACAAATGATGCAATAAGCACAACAAGCCTTTGGGAAAGCTGACCATAAAGGATGCTGAAGCAAGCACACAAACACATGCATTACCCCTGCCCAGAGCACGTTTCTCTTGAAGACTAGCCCACAATCTTATACTTCAGTAACCCGACTGCCACCCACAGGGCCAGCGCTGGGAGATGCCTTGTTGAAATGGCAACCTCCCATTGTCCCTTCCAGGCATCCTGAAACATCCTCCTAACATCTGTAAAATGTGCCCCATTAAGCATAACAGAACGAATAAACAGGCCCCTGAAAGCAACATTATTGAAAGTAAGTGTGTTACAAAGTAGCTCTCCTAGTTCTAATTAAAAGGAAAGAATGGGGGGCAGGAAACTGATTTTTCTCTTAATGTTTCAATGACTTGACCTAACCAGTGTATCTGTACAGTTTGCTAACACCCTCATTTGAATTCCACTAAATAGCCAAACACAGCAGTGCCAGGGATGATGCCATGGAACAATTTTACCTGAAGAAGGGAGCTTAATTAAAAGTGACTTAATTTCCATCCTTTGGGATTCTAGATGTTCAAGGTAGCAGGACTAGTGACGTGTATATATTTGAGATTAAAGTGAAGCTTTCATAAAAGAAGGGTTTGGAGTATTTGGCAAATTGATAGTAAATGAGGATTTAAAAAAAATAACTGCTTTACCTGTGGTTCGTCACCTTTCCCAGAAAGCTTTGCCTAACCTAACCAATATTTCTTTCGGCTGACCTGTGTCATAGTTTTCTATAAATCTACAAGACTGTTTCATACACAGTGGAGATAAATTAGGTTCTTTCCCTACTTGGCTTGGTCAAACTGTGAATAAATCTGTTTTATTTAAAAAATTGACTGCTTTTTTTTTCATCAAAGACACTTCTGCAAAACTGAATTTATGTTATGCAGGTTACCCATTAATGCCACTCCTGTTGACCTGATATCTCTGTGTCCTCATAGTCACAAAGGCAGACACATTCTAAGGTGACCCTGGGACTCTTTGCTCTTTTTGTTCAAGCCTGTGCAATCCCCTGCTGAATGTGGATAGGACCTGTGGCTCATTGGTTTCTCATCAGTGGGATATGGCAAGGTTACAGGATAGTTCTGATTACAATACTGGTAGTTGTAGGGGAATTCTCCCTTGCTGGGTTTGAAGAAGCATGCTGTTATGCTTGCTCTGCCTGCACAGAGGACAGAGAACCCGGGGAAGCCTCCTGTTGCTGTCCAGCAGGAAAGGGAGGCCGTATTGATGTCCTGCAAAGAGCTGATTCTGCCAACAACCTGATTAGTTTGGAACCAGATCCTGCCCTAGTGGAGTGTATGATGAGCCCCCCGAGCTCTGCTCAACATCTTGATGGCAGGGGACTCAGCTAAGGCTCAGAGCTTCCCTAGTGCTCTGACATGAAGCATCACTAGGAACCCATTCTACACGGGCTGTGTGAGGATGAATGCCTGCAGCCCCCATTGACCAATGGAAATGGCTGTAGACATAGGCTTCTCCTCTTCCTCCTTTGGAAATACATTGCACATCGATGCTCAGGAAGGCCTGGGGGTTTGGAGCATCAGGAGTCCAACCTGGGCAGCAACTCCATAAAGGTCCATCACATTGGTTGTCTTTTTCCTTCCTTCCAGTCTTTCATTCCCTGATCCACAGGGACCACGAGGCAAACAACTAATTTATAATTCTCTAAAGTTTTTTTTTTTTAAATCATTAATGTGTCTATGTATGATGTGTGTGTGTGTGTGTGTGTGTATGTGTGTGTGTGTGTGTGTGTGTGTGTGTGTGTGTGTGTGTGTGTGTGCCGTGGTATGTGTGTGGGGATTAGTGGATAACCTTTGGGAGTTGGTTCTCTCTTTCCACCATAGGTTCTGGGGATTGAACTCAGGCTGGTAGGCTTGCAATGACAAGTGCTTTTACCTGTCACTTCACAGGCCTCTAATTTATAGATCTGGACTGATTCTGGGTATCAGGTGATTTGTCTCTGTGAGAAAGAAAGAGCCATTATCAGCACAGTTGGTGGTGACTAGCTATCTTTTGGGGAAACCAGAACTAGTCCACAGGACATTTACCAGTGTGCTATACAGACTTAAGGGATTTGTTTACTTCCCATTCTCTACTCTGTCCTTACTAGCAACAGTCAAAATGAATTGCAGCGTCTCCTAACAAAGGATGGCCTTGTACGATACATTCATTGTTCTAAAAACATGCTAGCAAAAAATGAAAATGGAAACATGATCCAGTAAACACTCTATTTTTAAAAGTACCAGAAGTGTCTCCTCTATCTGATGATTAGCGTTGAGAGTAGAGTGCCTCATGGCCTTGGAACACACATATATTATCTATAAGTATCTCCAGCTCTTACAGGCTAAGGCAAGCAGATCACCATGAATTTAGACAGTCTGGTCTATGTGGTGAGTTCCAGGACACACTGAATTACAGATTGAGAACCTATCTTAAACAAAAGAATAAGCCTCAACATACAAAAGACAAAAATAAAACACAAAAAAATAAAATTTTCTTGATTCTGCAGACTTAAAAAAAATCAGCGTCTCCCCCGAGATCGGCTTTTAATTTTGTTATTTTCTTCTTTTATAAAATAAGGAGATGAGGTATCTGAGGATCACCTGTCCACTCACTCCTAGCAGAACCCAGCTAGCCCACACTTACATGCCTACCAACCCAGCTCTCCAGCCAGCCTCGCTCCCTAGGCAGCGCGCATGGCTCACTCTGCGCACGCGCAGTTGCTGAGGTTCCGGGCTCTGAGGCCGTTGGGGAGGTTTCCATCCCCTTGGTTTTTGACCCTCTGCGCTTGCCTGCTCTGCCTCTGCCTCCACCCCAGCCTAGCGCTGGCCCTGCTCCTCTCGCAGGAAGGTGGCGGCCTGCTGCCCCATGGGCAGCGGTGCCCAGATGAACCCCAGCGCCCCAGGCTGCCCCATGGCCTCGCTCTACGTGGGGGACCTGCATCCGGATGTGACTGAGGCGATGCTTTATGAGAAGTTCAGCTCGGCCGGGCCCATCCTTTCCATCCGGGTGTACAGGGATGTGATCACCCGCCGCTCCCTGGGCTACGCTTCCGTGAACTTCGAGCAGCCTGCTGACGCAGAGCGCGCCTTGGACACCATGAATTTTGATGTCATCAAGGGCAAGCCGGTCCGCATCATGTGGTCTCAGCGTGATCCGTCACTACGCAGAAGTGGAGTAGGCAACGTGTTCATTAAAAACTTGAACAAAACCATTGATAATAAAGCGCTGTATGATACATTTTCTGCTTTCGGCAACATCCTTTCCTGCAAGGTGGTTTGCGATGAGCACGGCTCCAAGGGCCATGGGTTTGTACATTTTGAAACAGAGGAGGCAGCAGAAAGAGCCATTGAGAAAATGAACGGGATGCTTCTGAATGATCGCAAAGTTTTTGTTGGACGGTTTAAGTCTCGGAAAGAACGAGAAACAGAGCTTGGAGCGAGGACGAAGGCGTTCACCAACGTTTACATCAAGAACTTTGGGGACCACATGGATGAGGAGACCCTGAATGACCTCTTCGGTAGGTTTGGACAGGTCTTAAGTGTGAAAGTCATGACCGATGAAGGTGGAAAATCCAAAGGATTCGGGTTTGTCAGCTTTGAGAGGCACGAAGATGCACAGAAAGCGGTGGATGAGATGAATGGAAAAGAGCTCAATGGAAAACACATTTATGTTGGTCGAGCTCAGAAAAAAGTGGACCGGCACACAGAACTTAAGGGCAAATTTGAACAGATGACACAAGACAGGAGCATCAGATACCACGGTATTAATCTTTATGTGAAAAATCTTGACGATGGTATCGATGATGAGCGTCTGCAGAAAGAATTTTCTCCGTTTGGAACGATCACCAGCACAAAGGTTATGATGGAGGGTGGTCGCAGTAAAGGGTTCGGTTTTGTGTGTTTTTCCTCCCCTGAAGAAGCCACCAAAGCAGTTTCTGAAATGAACGGTAGAATTGTCGCTAGGAAGCCACTGTATGTAGCTTTAGCCCAGCGCAAAGAAGAGCGCCAAGCTCACCTCACTAACCAGTATATGCAGAGAATGGCAAGTGTACGAACTGTGCCCAACCCTGTGATGAACCCCTACCAACCTGCACCTTCAGGTTACTCCGTGGCCGCTGTCCGGCAGACTCAGAACTGTGCGCCATGCTGCCCTAGCCAGATTACTCAACCAAGGCCAAGTACTCGCTGGACTGCTCCGGGTGCCAGGACTCATCCATTTCCAAATGTGTCTGGTGCTATCCACCCAGCTGCTCCTAGATCATCATTTAGTACTGTAAGACCAGGTCCCTCACACGCTCCTCAAGCCGTGTCCACACACCGCATTACTAACACATCAGCACAGACAACGGGTCAACGTCCTGCCGCCGCAGCTTCCATAGCAACTACTCCTGTTCGCTCGGTTCCACAGTACAAATACACCTCGGGAGTTGAGAACCCCCAGCAACATCTTAATGCACAGCTAGTGCAGCAGCCTGCTGTTCGGGTGCAGGATCAGGAACCATGGACTGCTTCCATGCTGGTAACTACTCCCCAAGAGCAAAAGCAAATGCTGGGCGAAAGGCTGTTCCCTCTCATTCAAGCCATGCACCCGACTCTTGCTGGGAAGATCACGGGCATGTTGCTGGAGATTGATAACTCAGAACCACTTCATATGCTCGAGTCTCCGGAGTCTCTGCGCTCCAAGGCTGATGAAGCGGTGGCCTTACTCCAAGCCCACCAAGCTAAAGAGGCTGTCCAGAAGGCTGTGAGCAGTGCGTCTGGTGTCCCGACTATTTAAACTCATCAGAGACATCGAAAAGGAAACTCACACTTTGCAGAAGAAAAATATCTAAACATTGAAAAAAAAACATAAATATTATAAAAAAAATGGTAAAATATAAAATAAATAAAAAAGGAAAGGAAACTTTGAAGTCTATGTACCGAGCAAATGTCAGGTTTAGTGTTAGGCCTCGACTGATTTAAAATCTGCACCACAATCCCCCAGAAATAGTATAGTCTACAAACCCATGTTTTGTGGACCCCAGGAAAAGCATTTTCAGCAGAGTAGAAACATTTAAAGCATTCCTTTAATTTTGTAATTCTTTATTGTTGAATAGCTCAAGATGTCAGTTTTAACCGCAGAATTGATTACTGGGCAAGGAAACATAATTTGAATTACAAAATTCTTGCTTTAATAAAAACTTACACAGTGAAAAAATACCAGAAATTATTTAGGTAGGGATAATGTGCTCTATCATTTTCTTTGTATTTCTCTATATTAAATTATATGTTAGAATAAAGAACAACTAGATGACTTAATCTTGTGTCAAATAGTATGCATTCAGGGTGGGGAGACTGTTACTTTGCACACTGATGGTATAAGACCCCCAAGTTGACTGCATGTTGTCTTTATGCAGCATGCAATTTTTCAAGGAATGGAAACCATTGATCATGACCTTTCAGGGCCCCTGACTTGCCCTCCTTTTAGGTGAAAAATCCAGTCGGGGAAACTGAGACAACAGGAGACAGAAGGACACAGACGGACACAGCTTAGTTTTTGCTGCCGTCACTGATGGGAGGAAGAAGGCACTGAAGAGCCGTCTCCTCCTCTTATCCAGTGAGGAGGCTGGAGCAGATGCTTAAATGGCAGGCATAGGAGGGTGGATATTTAAATGAAGTTAAGAAAACACAAGAAAAAAGAACAGTTGCAAGTAGCAGATCACAGATACAGACGCTGCTACAGATACAGTCCTAATAAGCCACATTCATATACATAATCACTGATTACTGTCCAACGTGTACGTCATCATTTGCCTGGAGTCAGCATTTTGCTGGGAACAAATGGTGTACAACAGCAACATGGCCCCTCTGGGAGAAATCACCGAGTGACAGCATGGGCAGAGACACAGAGAAGGAGAGTGAACTAAGGATCCAGGCCAGAGGCTCTGGGAAAGGTGGGGCCTTAAGGTAGTGGAGGATGAGAGGAGAGATGGAGGGAGGGAGAAAGGATGGGGGAGAGAGAGAGAGAGAGAGAGAGAGAGAGAGAGAGAGAGAGAGAGGGAGGGAGGGGGGAGGGAGAGAGAGAGAGAGAGAGAGAGAGAGAGAGAGAGAGAGAGAGAGAGAGAGCACAAATTTGGAATCCAAGTGAAGCGAGGGCGTTCCCCTGAACTGCTGGACTGTTATCTTGCATTTGCTAAGTGACCCTAGGCCTTTATGGGGGCCCTTTCAGGAGTCTGTCTTCTGATCCTTTTGCTTTTAAGCCTACTAGGGTCATAGAGGACAGTGACGGCGTTCAGGTGGTGACTTGGTGCCTCATAGCTGAGATGACACAATGAAATATAGAACATTTGGCTCTTTTTCTGAGCCATAGTATGTACTCAATATATGATAGCCACCATTCTGCTATTAGAGAACCATCATCACTTAATGCTGAAAAATCCATATTCTAATGTATTTAAGACATTATCTATAGGGAGACTGTAGCTGAAGTTTTCTCCAGTCCTGCCCAGCCCCACGGACCCCACAACTGCTTATAAAATAATCACTCAGAAGCTTCTATTAATTAAACTGATTGGCCATTAGCTCAGGCCTACCACTGACTAGCTCTTACACTTACACTCAGCCCATTTCTGTTAATCTATATGTCACCAAGTGTTCCATAGCTTCACCTGTTGCCTTTACATGCTGCTCCCTGGACGGCAGGCTGGCATCTTCTGACTCAGCCTTCCTGTTTCCAGAATTCTCCTCTCTGCTTGTCCCGCCTATACGTCCTGCCTGGCTACTGGCCAATCAGCATTTTGTTTATACAAAGCGATGTCCACAGCAGGAGACTATTTTTCTTATAGGTGAGAGAGCCAAGGTTTGGTAGAGTAAGTGGCAGATCAAGTCAAATGGATGCCATCAATTGGGTCAGTGTGACTTTTCCTGTACTTTCCCAGATGATGTTTGACATTGTGATGGTTAACTGTCATGGGATTTGAATTCACCCAGGACACACACACGCACGCGCGCACACACACACACACACACACACACACACACACACACACACACCCCTCTGAGTATGTCTTTGAGAACATTTCTTATTATGTCACTGGAGACATTTACCTGAAGAAGGAAGATCCATCCAGAATGTGGATTGCACATCCTGCGGGCTGGGGTTTCCCACTGAGTAAAAAGGAGAAAGTGAGCTGAGGTATCAACACTTGTCTCTGTCTGTTTCCCCGATAGTGGAGGCAAAGGGACCAGCTGCCTCCCACTCCCCAGCTGCATCCCTCTGCTTTACGATGAACCACACCCTCCAACAGAATAGAGAAACCAAGGAAACTTTGTTTCCTTCAGTGGCTTTTCTCAGATATTTAGTCACAGTAGGGAGAGAAGTAACTAATTCAGTAGAGTTAGGTATCCTGTGAACTGCATATACTTTTGTTAGCTGCACATTCATATACAAGGGAACAATTGAGCATGCACAGGCACATGTGAATCCAGATGGAAACTTCCTTTTTTGTTGTTTTTTTGAGAAGACCTCAAACAGCTCCTGGCAGTCCTTGAGACATTGGTCTGCTTACAGTATTGCATTCACCATTTTACCTGATCTTTGGGGCTTTGGGTTTACTGCCTTATCACTCCCAGTGGCATGAATGGCCCCCCAAGTTCCTTCCCAAAGCTGTCCCCTAGGCCCAAGAAATGTTTTCTCATTAAGACTCTGAACAGATTTGAAATTAGTAAACAAAATTTGAAAAACACTACTCATCACTTCAAAACAAAACTCAAACTAAATTTAAAAATACCAGAAGCCTGGCCGGGAAAGGGGTCCAGGAAGAAGACAGACAAAGCTGCTGTGTCTGGGCTTTGAGTACAGAGGCACAAAAGTAGTCAAAAGGAACAGAGGACAGAAATGTCCACAGGTATCATAGATTTGGACATAGGTGCTAGTAGAGAAATGACTGGCATATTTTAGAACCCGGGTGAATTGGTGGAAATAAAATAACGATCCCACATCAATTGCCAAACCTGAAAGTAAACGACAACGTCAGAAGTGAATGTAAAAATGATTCTCCAGCTGGGTGGTGATGGTGCATGCCTTTAATCCCAGCACTCAGGAGGCAGAGCCAGGCCAATCTGTGAGTTTGAGGCCAGTCTGGTCTACAGAGCAAGATCCAGGAGAGGCACCAAAACAACACAGAGAAACCCTGTCTCTAAAAACCAAAAAAAAAAAAAAAAAAAAAAAAGAAAGAAAAAGAAAAAAGATTCTCCTGTGTACCTTCGTGGCAGCTAGTGAATTTAGAGGAGAAGGCAGACAACTCAGACTCAGGGAGGAGAGGCCCTGAGAGGAAGAAGTAGGTAAGAGGCAAAACACAAATTAAAATGATGCTTGTACAGTCTACAAGTGTCTGGCACCTTTTCAGCCATTGCAGGAAGGATGGTGGATGGTGTTCACCAGCTGAAGGGGCTGCACTGTGGACTGCGTGTCAAATGAGGATAGTACACCCTTGTCTTTGAGGGGGGGTGGCTGTCCTGTTGTACCCGTGGGAAATGTAGCACCCTGTAACTGTTGTCGTTATTTACATTCTTACTTACTTGTTAACTTTCAACATACTTGGGCTGAAGGCATTAAAGTGATGGGTAAGAATCCAGCTCTGACCTTACCACCCACTTGAGGAGTGAATAGTGTACGCATTCTGCCTTTCACTGAGGTTTTAAATATTTTAAAAGCTACAAGGACTTACCGGGTAATATAAAATCACCCAGAAACCGGAATCCCAGAAAGACCCTTACAGGCATCACTGTTTTAAAAACACTGGGCAAATAGTTCTCTTGCGTATAATGTCCGCGGGTGGTTGAATTGTTTTCCCAGACTAGGAGGCAGGAGGAGGTAAGAGATGCTGATAGGAGAAGGTCACAGTGCATGGGATTCCCCACCTTCTGGTCATCCTCTCACGTTGGCCGGATTTGTGTACTTTCATTTCGTCTGTTTCTGGAACTGATTTAGGGTGGAGATAATTAAGGACATGGGTTTAGAATGACGAAAGTCTGTTTCCCCGTCTCTCGTATTAGCTTCCCGAGCAACAAGCAAGCTGTTCTGGTCAGAGACTTTTTAACGGTGCATTGAATCCCCTCACATTATTGCTAGGAAATAATCTACAAAATCCGTTCAAAGTAGGCAAGAAGCACGCCTACAGAAAAGCCTCGTCTATGCCAAGATCCCAAGCTACCTGGCAGTGGTGGCTAGCCAAATTTTTATCAGTAATCAGAAGGTTGCTAAAGGGCAGATTTGTGACGGTCAACTCCCGCCGAGAGCACCTGGCTAGCTTGGCACCCTGATAAATGACAAGGCACTTTTGGCCTCATCCCCTCCCAGAGGACCTGGAGGGAAATCCTATCACTCCTGCTCCAGTGTTCCAGAGGATGCTACACCTGCTGTTGGCACATCTGGAGCTCCAGCTTTCCCATCATCTCCTACCCTCTGGGAATGGTCATGACATTTTAAAGTCAAAGGATGGATAGTCCTCGCAGGCAAAAGGAAGGTGTGTCTGACATGATGAATCCCTAAACTCATTCACAGCTGTCAGACATCTCATGACATTCCTAAGTTGTCCCAGCTACTGATGAAGTGTTTGCCGTTCTTTGTACACTGTTGACCACCAGGTGTGACTGAAGGGTCTAGGACAAAGTTTAAAATGTGTCTGTTTTCTCATTGCATGGATGGGCTTCATGTCTTGGTTTTCCTTTTAAAATAAGTCTCTCAAGCGAGCTTAACACCACTTTCTAACTCCCTGTGACCTCAGCTCTGTTCGGGAGAACTTCTTTCCTTAACCAAGTTGACTTTGACTTTGAGAGACTCA